CACACCAAATACCAATTCTCCGAGACACAACTTAACCATTTCTTAAATGTTTTATATCTATCTCTTTAACTGATCTTTTTTCTTTTTATCAACTTTAATTGATCATTCCGCACTTATCATCTAAATGAAGGAAAAATGTACAAATATGTCGAATTTAGGATGATCAATATTCAATACCATCTTTTGATTGCGTAGAATTAGTATAGATTACACTCTTTTAGTAGGAGTTAAAAAAACACATTTCTTTTTTGAGACAATTATATTTTCTCTGTCTTGCACTTTTGATTTCCACCTTATTTCCTTAACGATTTACGTGGCTTTCATTTTCTACGTTTAATAAATCAAAATAAATCTTTTCTTCTATTTTTTTTTGTATTTTTTTTTGGTTTTAACGCTCCATTCATACAGAATGATTGATTTAATCAAATAAAACTAGACTTTATTAAAATTAGTGTCTCAGATTTTGTTTTATAGCTGATAACACAAAAGAAAAAAACTTCTTTAGATTGTCAGTCCACAACAGCAAAAAGATATACTTATCTGAAATATTTGAACGTTAATTCTTAAAGATATGATGGGGCAATGTTATTTCAGCTGCTAAAAGATTGGCGCACTTGCATTGACTTTAGAAGTATTTTAATTAATGTTAATTTTCTCACTAAGTGATTGGATTCCAGCCATTTAGAACATTTGATGTGTTTTTTTTTCTTTGTTGCATCAACAATTATATAGGATCACAACATATAGTTTATCTATACTATAGACTATACATTAGACAACGAAAACAAATTAATTTCAACTTTATAAAACTTGACATCTCTCCTAGAATATATATATATAAAACAAATTAATTTCAAGTTTATAAAACTTGACATCGATCTCTCCTAGAATATGAATATATATATATATATATATATATATATATATATATATGTACTTTATATACAAGTAATATTTTGAGTAAAGCTAAAATTTTATAACTTACAAACTAAATAATTGATATGATGTAAGAAATTAACGTAAATATATCTATGAGAATATATTCTTATAAATTTTACCGATGAGAAGAATCGTAAAAGATTGTGCCATAAAATCAATGAGTCCTCGTGGAGATTCATTGGATAATTCCTGTAGCAAGAAATTCTAACTGCACTACAAATTAAAGTGTGATGCTTCACCTATTTTAGCTTCAACTATATTATTATCATTTAAAGAGCTTAAAGAAGAAGTGTGTTGGTGCACAAAAAAAAAGAAGAAGAAGTGTGTATGGAACAATTTGATATTTTTATGCATGACCCAATGGCTCCACTTTCCCCACTTTATAAAACTTCCACATATTTATTTCTTTCAAATTCAATCTTTCATTATCTAAATTAGTCATTTTATATTCAAGATTTGTAATCCTATCTCAATAAATAATGGTTGGTAAAAAAACATGCTTTTATGTTATTGGTTTCATTCTATTGGTATTTGATATAATTCAAAATCATTTTAACATAAAAAGTATTTTTTTTGCCACTATAGTATTTAAGCAATCAAATTAAGGTAGTGATCCACTCACGCTTACCCTTCCGACATTAATTAATCACTTGTTAAACCTATCTTATTAGATTACGTAAGCCATATTCTAATCCCTACTTTGTTTATTGTGTACACGTATCGACCGACAGAATAAAACTTCATATATAAAATAAAGGAATATTTCTTTCTGAATTTATATTAGCTGAAATATGGATTAGATCATTTAATTTTAGGATTTAGATGTTAATTAATAATATGAAAGGTGCCGATAAGACGAATATTTTTTTAATCCTAAGTATCTCGAGTTGCTTTCTCCTATTTTGTAACCATAAGAGTTGCAATAATACCATTACGTGTCTCTATCCGTCTGTATTCATAAAATAAAATTAAAGGTCTCGTAATTCTGCTTTTCGTATTTAATCTTAGCACCAATGAAATTTAGCTTGTGGTTTGTGTTTGTGGATGTGAGACTGTGAGTTATAGAGAAAATAAAGTTAATCACTGGGATAATATAGTAACTGCTAAATTTTGCAAATGTTTGTTTAATTTTTTGATATAAAAAATATTTTGATAGAAGCCATTTTTGTTAATAGTAGAATAAATATATTTTCCAAAAATATTAATCCATTAAGCTTAAATCATAAGTTTTTAGAAACTCCATCCGTTTGGGAAAATTGATATTTTACATATATTAATATTTTGGAAATTTTGGAAATTAAAAATAATCATTAACGCTTAAATTAAGAAAACAAGAAGGATTAGCATGCATATAATCTTTACGATTAAGGAGAGCCAAAAAAAAAAAAAAAAAAAAAAAAAAAAAAAAAAAAAAGATTAAGGAGAGCCACACGAAACCATAATAAAATAAAGAAAAAAAGTTATGTTATATATTAATCAAATAAATATATCATTGGCACTTTTGAAACCTAACTGGCTGCTGCGAAATGGCATCAGCAAATGTCAACTTCAAGGTGTAGGATCCTTCTTCGGATTTGAGGTTCCAATTGATGTCAATCCATTTTTATTATAAACATCTTTTTGAATTTATTTACCATGGAAAAATAACATTAACACATGCAGAGATGGCTCATGGTCCGATCTCATGGTCTTTGACACATGCTCTGTTTCATTGTTTGTATAATGCTCTGTTTTACTGAGTGTCTCAATTTAAGTTTTTGCTCCGAAGCTTTCTACTCTAGTCTGAATTGAAACATCTGTACATATTTTCTTATTTTGATAAATGAATTACACATTTAAACCAAAAAAAAAAATTAAACACTAAACTAACTCTAGTTAATATTAGTATTAGAAAACTATACCAATTTATTTTTACTGAATAGTTACTCTAAATTTAATGGAAATAAAGTTTTTATATTTTTTTCTTCACTAAAAACTCCTTTAAAAAAATGAATATAGCTGCTCGTTATTATACGATTTAATGAATATTTAAATGAATAAATATGTTGATGTAATATTTAAATCCTAAAATAGCTTTATCCTCTAATAATAGGTTTTTGTGAAAGAAATTTCAATTTCTAGATTTTTATGATTTGAACCATCTTGTCGAAGAAACAATTTTTTGGAATGATAAATCATCTGTTTGTTTTTTTTTCGTCATAATAACTTATATTAATTTGAAAGATCAGCATATAAAATGGTCACAATCCAAGGAGAAGGATCTGAAATTACAGAATAAAAACTAGAATGAGAGCATCCAAGTTGAGCAAGACTATGTGAGCTACTTGGTTACAAGATCGGTTATCATAAGCAAAAGAAAGATCCTTAAACTTAGACGCCCAAAACTTGATATTTTCACATATTCCACTAATCGATGCATCCGATAAGCTATTGTTGATGCTCTCGATCAAAATCTTGCAATCCCCTTCAAAATATACCTTGGTGAATCCACACGAATCCATGTTTGTTGCATCGAAGAGAGTAATGCTCATGCTTCTGCTTCCAATGGTGATCCTGTGACATTCAAACGTGATGATCCCCACACCTTTGTTGTTCCATCATGGTTTCGAATAACCCATCCTCCATTTATTTGATTAGTATTGACATCAAATTTAGCATCAAAATTGCATTTAACGTACTCCAGTGAGGTTTTGTCCATCTGTTCAAATATGCAACTTTGTAGTGAAGAAAAAAATACATTAGTTGAGCTAATTTTTTTTGTTTTATTTTCATATTTTTAGAAAATTATCCATTAATATTCTTTTTTTTTTTTTTTTAATTCACAATGAAAAGCAATTTACTCCCTAGAAAATATTATGCCTTAGGTCAATCATGCCTCCCCACTTTTAGATGAGCACAAACATAATTAGTCATATTATTATGTGTGCACATATACCTACATATCTTGATCTTGATATGTATAAAATCTCGAGCTCGAATCAATCTATATAAAGAAATAGTTTTATAACGTTGATTACAAGCAAAAGAAAAGCACTTTTATAATATTCTTCGACATGTGATATAACTCTAGACAAATATATTGTTTAATCAATCAAAAACGTGGCTTGTCCTTTCTAATTATGTGGTTATAAATTTCCTTAGGCCGGTAAGAATCCATCTCGGCCACAAAAAGAAATTGGATATATGCTTAGTTTTAACATATAAAATAATTTATATTTTCGTTTAAAGTGAAATTAAACCGATTCTCATTCCCCAAGGTCACGTCTCTCTGTTATAGTAACAGTGATGATTCCGCATTAGTATGCTATAAGTAGCATCAAAACAAAAGGATGAACAATGCGATGATTATTTTTTAATCGCCATGTTTATAAACCGAAATAAACACCTTTTATGTCGATGAAATCGTAAAAGATGAAGAAAAACAAAATATGTTTGAAATTTTACAGTATGTGACTGAAATAGTTCTAATTAAAGGAACGATGTTAAAAGGATCATTTATTCAAAATTTTGACTTCTTATATTTTGAAAGTCCTAATGACCATTGGTAATTTTATAAAGATTTCTGCCTAATTGATATTAAATTAAATTATACCGTGTAAACTGTAGTTTACAGTTTCTTGGGCTGAATTGTTTCATTAAATTGGTGCATGCATGTTGAGTATTCTGCCTCTGGAACTGCAAGCAAGAAATAGCAAGAGTGCGATTGCGCAAATTGTTAGGATCTCATATCGAAAATGAAAAATGATTTAATAACCGAAGATTTCATTTTTCAAGTTTTAGATTTCTTTCACGATTATTATGATCATTGAGAAAATCTTCCGAAGATAGTAAAAACAAGTATGCATGCATGCAGAGGGATTAAAATCACTCATCGACTTGCACGTCTTAGCATAAATTATTGTCTAAAAGTTGTCAAGTTTCGCTTTATGAGTCGATGATATGGTACATGTGCATTGTCTATTTACACATAAAGGTGTCCCGCTCGAGCAGTGAAAATATTCACAATCTTTGTTTGTTTTGCAAGGAAGAAAAATCTGAGCTTCCGCTGTCGGAATACTCACCATCATTGCACCTAATGACACACATCGATTAAAAAAACATGTGTCATGTTCAAACATCAAATTGACTAATATAAGTATGGTTAAGTTTAAGTAAATGCCTTGTTAGAGAGATTGAAGGGACTTACAAGCGATAACGAGGGCAGAGAGGAAGAAGAATGTGATTTTTGATGCCATTTTTTAATTATTGTTTAAATGAATATCAAAGGCACCTGTAATCTAGTGACCCTTTGCTATTTATTTATAGTCTCTAAGAAATTTGGGAAGAATTTAATTTGGATATCTTCAGTCAATAAATCAAATACTTAATGAGATATTGGCATTAAATATCTTAGAATGTAGTCAAAATGTAAATACGTTTAGTCAATACTAGTTGTACTTTTAATACCATAATTTTTTTAGTTGAATGTAAAATTTATTAAATGACAAAAAACTTTTTACAAAAAAGTTGCCTATGTTTTGAATGTCATATATAAAAATATCTATTCAATTAGGATGCCATATAAATTTATCAAATAGTTTAGTCAAACTTGGGGAATAAATATATAGAATTATTTATTATAATGAAAATTTTGTGGGGAATGATTTTTGAAATTTTCGCTTGTTAACTAAATCATCATGACACGTATATATGGCACATAGATAAATATGATGATAATTTTGGAAGAGGCTAATAGACGAGCAAACTTCCTGATTCCTACGCCAAAACTCTCGGAAAAGGCTTCTAGGAACACCAAAGGGCACATCCGTACAAACACTCAGCCCCATTGGTGACATTGCAAGACTCAGAGCTAGCTTCCTACCACTTCCCTTGTGTTCGGGAGCGTATGTCCACTCGAACACATCGGCTATCCTCATATGATGCTATCTCGAGGGTTTCCTACACATTCTACTATTCTAGTAGACCGACTCACTCAACTCTATATTAATTAAATAGTTGGGTTGGCTTGGCAATAGCATACTGTAGGATGGGCAGGGGTTCTGTGAAGGTTCGGCAATCCCAGCTTGGGTCCGTCCAGTTTGGTCAATACCATTGTTTTTTTTATACTGAAATAAATCACATTATAATGATTTTATAAAATTTATGATCTTTGTGTATCATGCAAAATAGTACCTAAAATATGAAGGTGAAATGATTCATTCATGCAATGTTTTGAACAATATTAATGATAAGGGCCTTTTGGCAGTCCATATAGACGAAGTTGAATGTCAAAAAAGACCATAAACTATTTTACCCTGTTGACCCAAAAATACAAATTATTCAATCTTTATCTTTCTAAAAAAAACAAAAAAACAAAAAAAAAAACACAAACTCTATTGAAACTTTTTCTGAATACATGTTATTATCATCATTGAGAAGATTTTCCTACAATGTTAAAAGCAAGAAATATGCATATGTTTATAATAATATACTGTACTAGATACAAGTACAAAAGCCATTCAAACATATGTAAGATCCTGAGACACAAGAATATCTCATACGAGGATCGCAATCACTCGTCTGCTTGCATGTCTTAGCATCATTCATTTTCCTTAGGTTATCGAGTTTTGCTTGATGAGTCAATGAAACGCTGCATTTGCATTGTCCCTTTATACATAGAGGTGGCATTCCCGAGCAGGGAAGTTCTTCACAATCATCTGTTGTTTTGCAAGGAAGAGCAACCTCAGCATCCGCAGTTGGAATATGCACCATCATTGTACCTAATGAAGCACACCGGACCAGGAAAAGGTATGTTCTGTTCAAACTTTACATTCAATAATCATGCTTATGTAAAAGGCTTGTTAGAGAGACTTAGAAGCGACCACGAGAGCAAGCAGGAAGAAGATTGTGATCTTTGAAGCCATTTCTTAATTATGGCTATAACCTATATGGAGACATCTGCTATTTATAGTCTCTTTGAAATACCATAATTTAATTTCAATCGTTTTTCTCTTTGACTCAAAATTTTGATGATTTTTGCCATAAAAAAAGAAAATCGTGTATTCTACAAAATGTAGTCAAAATGTAAATACTTTGGTTAATTGGTTTGGTGAAAAATTTCAAGATCCTTTTGTTTTTACTCGCTGATATTTTTTTTTTTTTTCGGCAAATCAGACTTTCATTGATTTCAAAGAGTAATTACAAAGACATTATACAGAATTACCATAACACAATTATTACACACGCAGATGTATGTGCCATACACTAAGAAAAATACAGCAGAAGGGAGATTGACGATGCTTTCCGAAGAGTAGTCTTACTCGCTAACCGATCATAAGATCTGTTATTGTCCAACTTCATATTTGATTTTTCTCTATTCCGATTGGCATGCAGCAACTTGTAGCTGAACTTTCTTTTTGCGAACCGGAACTGTAAACCCGATGTGTCCAAACATAACTCTGAAATATAGACATAGTGGTACCAAAGCTTCCGTACCAAAGTCTTTCTAAAATATCTCGACTTTGTAATTTTCTCCAATATGATCACAAATAGGTTAAATGTAGTAGTAATCTCCACCGTAGCATCCTTTGAGGAGAGTTTCTTACTAGATTTCAACAAAACTCTAAAACTTACCAGAAAGTACCATAGGCCTTTGTTTGACCACACACTTCGTCCAACCATATCATCAACAACACCCAACAAGCGATGGTTTTGATTAGTCATAGCCGGAAGTTTCTGATTATGCGATTGTAACATCACCGCCAAAGTCGTAGCCGTCTCTTCTACAACGTCGACCAGCAAAGTAACATGAGCATCATCAATTACATGGTTAATTTCTTGTAACCCGATCATGACAATAGATTCCAATCGAAACATTGTTGATGCATTCCTCAAACTGCAAATCTGACCAATATAGATCATATTATGTCGCCAATATTTGACCAAGGCCACATTTAATTTCGAAATTCCAATACAACAATAGCCAAATGGATGCAGCCATAAATCCATCACACAATCGATAGAATCACCATCGTTCACCCCCGGATCCCATATCCTAATTTGATCTCTGTTTCTCACGTTGGAGAAATACAAATTAGAACGAAGGATTCTAAGAGGTTGAAAAAAACATATATCGGTGATGAAACTGTTAAATTTGGGCTAATTCTGGGCTTCCAACTAAAAACCAATTGGCAATTAGTGGATTGGCCCTAACCCTTTATATATTATTGATTGTCCCATCAAACTTCCGATGTGGGACTTGGATTGTATCTCCAACAATCTCCCCTTCAATCCAAGGACCACATGGATCTTAACACACCTCCTCAATAAGCCCCTTTCTCGGGCCCCCATTACTCGGGTTTGAGGTATGTCTGTATCCACTTTTCTAGGTCCACCAGAATTTGAACCTTGGGCTCTGATACCATGTTAAATTTGGGCTAATTCTGGGCTTCCAACTAAAAACCAATTGGCAATTAGTGGATTGGCCCTAACCCTTTATATATTATTGATTGTCCCATCAAACTTCCGATGTGGGACTTGGATTGTATCTCCAACAGAAACGATGACCATCTATCGGAGATGGAAAGAAACTGACACAATTACTCTTGGGCTGGGGCTTGAAAAAGGTCAGAAATACACTCTCACAGAAGGAGAGAATGAAGACGCGAGTTTGAGTACAACTCCAATCGCGAGAGAGACGAAACGAAGCAACTCTTTCCAATCTCAAAAACGAATCTCCATATGAGTTTTGGGTGTGATGAGACACCACACAAGTCAGATATGGTGCCAACATTGAGACCGTATAACAAATGAAAGTTATCAGACTCAGATCTTTCAACACCATAGTTACGAAGGAGCAAAAGATGGGGATTTGGAATTCTGGATTTGCCATAAGAATTACTTTAATCTATACAGAAGGGAAATTTGAAAAACTAGAACTAAGAAAAAGGAGCCGACCGACGCCAGAGAAGCCGACGCCGGCCGGAAACTATGGAGACCGGAGAAGTTTTTGTTGAAAAGTTGCCTTTGGGAATATCGCCTCTCGGAGAGAGAAAGCATGTTCACTGGCTGATATTTATATCATATTTATTATAGGGTAATATTACAAAATAGCCAAATTCTGAGTCAAAATTAAGTAACTAACCATTGTCAGTTTTTATATGGGAAACTAACCATATGACGGCACAGTAAAAGACAAAAATATCCCTACAAGTTGAATCAAGAACAAGTTTTTGCGGAGAAAAAATAAAAGATTAGAGGTATTTGAACAAATCGCGTGAAACATGTTAAAATAGCACGATATTTATTAAAATAACGTTGTATTTTATAATATACATTTGGAAAGATGCAACATCATATTGTTATTTGTGAAAAAACATGTCATTTAATAAAAATATCATGTTATATTGAAAGAAAAGATGTGTCATTTAAAAAAAAAACGTGTTTTTAACATTAAAATCATGTTTTTGGAAAAACTCACATATGATCTTAATAAATAACGTGTAATACAAAAAATATTTGTGTTACAAAAGAAAATAACGACGGAGATTCCAAGAAAGATTGAGATCCAACGAGATAAAAATGAAGATTTTTGGCTGTTCGAGACAGTAAGAACCTAGAAATCTGCAGAGAGATGGGCGGTATAAATTTATCTCCAGAGAGATATTGACGGCATGAAATTCGATTAGATAGTGAGTGGATATGTGAGGAAAGAATAAAGGACAATAGTGATGGTGGTGTTGGTGTTGATATCATTGACGGTGAAGTTTCTAGAGGACCTGATAGTAGAGGAAGTTGTGGTGGTGGTGATCACATTAGTGGCGACAATGGATAAATAATGGAGGTTATATATATGGTGGTGATGGTGGTTTAGAAAAAAAAGAGATAAGAAATGATATGGGCATATTTGTAATTGCCATAGAAAAGAAAGAGTACTACAGTCACCCATGGTTATTTTCTTAATTTCCTTCCAGAATTTAGCTATTCTATGCATATTCTCTTTATTATATCCATTTATAATGCCATATCAATTTACCGTTGAATTGAATAATGAAAAGAATTACAATATACACCTCCGTTAAATTTTATACTCCAAAATGATTTAGAAACTACATGTTGTACACTGTATATTGTTTTTTTTTTTTTTTTCTATTTTCTATTACAGTTTGTAGACTTTATTCATATATAGTAAAAACAAGAAGCTTGCAATCTATATAATAATAACAACTTGAATAAATGTCTTAAATGATTGCGTCTTTTCATCGCAACCGTTTGTAAATATTTTTTATCTATTTT